GTAGAAGTGAATCATTTACTGCTTGCAAACCAATGATGGTAAGATGATGTCATGGGGTAGGACTGGATAAGTCTGACTTCTTCCTACTCCATTCAAGCATGTACTAGGTATAAGCAAATTGATATTGGATTATGTGTACAATCATGTGTGCTGTCATATCAACTGTTTTTACATGCTTGAAAGAATAAATCAAATCAAAATTATGTATGACATGAGTGATGAAACACTGCTGTTAACACTTCGTATGACATCAGTGATGAAACACTGCTGTTAACACTTCGCATGGTGACAGTGTTTTAATGCTGTGTGAAATATGATGTACTCTGAATTACTGTTTGTTTAGACATCACCTTTTTATTGTTTTGTGTGTGACTGCACAGTGGACTGGAAAGTGCGAGTCAGACACCTGCTGCCAAAAGGGCGAAACATTGCCGCCCTGATGATCAAAACACTGGTACGGATGAAGAGAATGCCGGGGTATGTCAGAGTCATGTGATATAATCATAATGTAGCAGAATTTATGATTTGACAATATCTAAATGGGACATGTTGGCACATGTTTGAGATGTTTGTTCCCGTACCTTCTGTATTTTCAGCTCACTGTGTTTCCAGTTCTTGCTGCCCGTCATCCAGATCTCTCTGATCTGTCTGTGTGTTGGAGGTGATCCGAAGGGGATCCAGGTCGCTGTGGTGAACAACGAGACCTCCCCCTCCGCTTACAGCCGATCACTGCTCTCCTTCCTGGACAACTCCAGTGTGCACCAGGTATTTATTCAGCCTTGTGAGACACTGATATTAATACACAGTTGTCATATTTCTCTGTCACAATCAAAGAGGAATTAAGTAGTTTTGTGTCTCCATGAGACAGAGAATATCAGTGATCATTTGTAATCCAAAAGGTTCAGTCTTAAAAAGAAGTAGTGGGCCTCTCACGCTCAGTTGTTATTTCTAATTTTACTATAAGCAAATAAGTTTCACTTCTGTTTACAGCAGAACAAGCACTAAAGCTTCCTTTTTCTAGTAAATCAGTGAAAGTGAAAGGTTACTTCTCTGTATGACACTGAGACAACTTCTGAGTTTAACCGTATAAAACACACAAATGCTACAAAGTGGAGAGCATGTACTTAAACTGGCTCAGAGCAAAGTAAACGACAAATATTTATCCTTCTGTACAACTGAAATGTTCCTAAGCACAAGGTTTTAATGCCTTTCACTGGATACGGACGTGCAGCATGATGTTGCTGAAGCAAAATGTGATTAGTCTGTAGGATTCATTTAGTAGTAAAAGATTAAAATACAGAGAATAATATATAAACTACACCCACTCTTTATCATTCATAGGTGCCCTTGTCTCACACTGACGCTTTCAAGGGGAGCTATAACGGAGAATACTGGGGTGTCATTGGCTTTGGCAAGAACTTCACCAGCTACCTGACAAAGAGGTGAGAGAAGCAGGCATCGTTTTATAACAAGACAAGACAGGATGTCGTAATAACATGAAAAATATCAGGTTCCAACCTGGAAGTATCTTGTACAACTGAGAAACATTATAAGTGAGAAACTGAGCAACAAAATCTTTCTCATGGTGGCAGCAAAACTTTATTCCTCAGAAGGAACAAGAACTATCAGCCAGACTTGAGTCATATGAAGAGGTTCAGTTGATACAAACCCACTTACAGCCCGAAGGTTTTGTTTTCATGTAGCTGCCTTTTTGCCTAAACATTTGTGACAGTCCCAGTCCTGGTCTTGCCTCTGCACTGTTTTCCTGGCTCACTTCTTTGTGCTCTCGGTAGCTTCTGTGCTCTTTGTACACCTCACTTATATCCCCCTGTGCTTTCTAGTGTTCCTAGTGTTTCAGGTTTCTGTTTTTTTTGCTTCTTGCTTTTTCCCCACTGTATCTGAGCCTGCCTGGACTCTCACCTTGTGTCTGTTTCTTTCTGTTCAGTTTTATTCTGCCTTTCCTTTGTTTGTTTCCTTTGTGTTGTAATAAAGTGTTAAACTTTGCCTGCCAGCTTGTCTGTGTCTGCACTCTCGGTCCAAATTTACCACTTTCTGTTCCCTAACTGGAAAGGTGACAGTATTAGACAAGTTGACAAGAGCATTCAAAATACAGCTCACACACACAAAGCAGCAATGTGAAGAGATACCCCCGTGTGTGTGTGTCAGAAAACAGTCTTGCACAAAATGCTCAGATGAGATTTCAGCCAAGTGTAGATCTTTAAGGAGTTCTTTATGAGAAGATTTCAGATGACCTGTTTATGACTTTATGAGTCAGCTTGTCTAGACGTGATTTGACCATTATCATCCCCTCTCACAGTAAACGGTGCCATTAATCTATTGACTTCTCCTTCGTCATTTGATTTTGCTCAGATGATTTAAAGCGCAAACACACAGGCTTCTGATGTTACGCACCTACATAACTGATTACAGGAGTCAGTGTTTGTCTGCGTCAATGCAAAACCCACAGTAAGGTCCTGCGCTGACTTAAAATACCAGCGTGACGCACAGATCAGCATTCCAGCTGCAGAACACAGACAAACCTAGCACACAGAGACATAAGCACACACAGACACACAGCTTAACCTCACTGCACACATGCACACATATCTGATCAGATATTTCACATTTTGCAGATATTACCACTTTTTACTGAACCGTTTAATGCACAGCAAACTAAACTGCACAAGTAAAAACAAATAACTGAACTATCACACTTCTTAAAAACAAATGAATACGTTATTTTAAATGCTGGCAAGACACTGCACAACAAAAATGGCCAGAGGATGAAGCCTACTGACTCTGACTTGCATCCATGCGGTTGACATTTGTCACTATTGGATGGATTGATTGGATAGAGATGAATTGTAATAATTACTTTTGCTATTCCTAATAGCAAAAAGACAAACCAAAACTAATACTTGGTGAATGGATGAGAGATTTTGTCATGGGACACTGAAGCTGAAAGAAAAGACAAATAGAAACTATATATATATTTTGAATTTCCTGAAACTTTTGCCATCTGCCTCTCTTTGTGGTTGATGCGCATTACCACAGAAATCACAAACCACATTGACTCACACCTCAGAATTGCCATCATATGAGGATGAGTCAGCTCTAGAGGGTGAAGGACAGGGGTTGTTGTTTCAGGTGTGAATCACTGTTTTGTCTACACCGTGCCTATTTCTTTGCATATATATGTGTGTGTGTGTGTGTGTGTGTGTGTGTGTGTGTGTGTGTGTGTGTGT